TCCGTTCCGCGCTGAAATCATTATCGAGTTGGTTTTGGGTTCGGGTCGCAGATCGAGAACCCGCCCCCGGAAATAAATCACTGGGGTTAGCGGGTTCCCCGTACTACTAGCCTAACTAGTGTAGAGACCAGCTATATTAATATATCAAAACAATATCTGCGACAGTCCCAAGTCTATTTGATCCTTTCAAATACAGTCAGTTGTCGATATTCCCGAAATATAATAAACTTTGTTAAAGAGTCGACTTGCTCTACAGGATCTCGAGATATTCTATACATATCAGAAATCAAATATCAGAGTTGAATATTCAACTATACACCGCTTAAGAAAAAACATCAAGTCTAATATTTAAAAAGAAAACAAAAGACTACGCGTGCTACAGAGGCCCTACCAATTATCTTCTTCTGGCAAAGCTGTACAGCGAAAATCTCTTCTGAACCTTGAGAGTGCAGTAGAGGACTGCAACCGGAGGGAGCAAAGTGGTGAGAGAAGTAAGCGTGCAGGTCAAGGGCAGTGAACGAGGACGATCAGGTTTTGTATGCTCTAGCCATGAGATATTCCGCTTTCAAATGCTTCACGCAAAGAAGCATCGTATTGCTCTTTATCCTTCGCTTTTTGTTTAATAAACTTAAAGGTATTGAATGTCCAGTAGGGCATAGTGACTTGCCAGAAAGCTCGATCATCGTGAGCCTGAGAAAACCTCGGTTGAATGAAGTCATAAAAGATTTTGAACAACGCCGTAGGGCTACTGAGGACAACAGAGCACCAAAATATTCCTCTCTCCCATCCATGCTGCAAAATGGGATAGAGACGGACTGGTGGCTGAATTTTCATCTCTTCCTCTGCGAATCCCTCCATGAACTCTTGGTGAAGAATTTCGTAGTTGTCCAGGCTGATCAAGTCAATAGCCTGATTCATTAACCAGTACAGAGGATGAATCATCTCCACTGGCTGAGAGCATGCCCACTCGAGATCTATCAGGCACTTGATACTCCAATCGTCGTCAGCAAAGATATTAGTCTGGTTCAGATCAGTGAGGTTAAGAAAGAACGGGCCGTGGCAGAGATCACGGCGGAGTAGGTCCCAGCTTCGCTACGGACTTTCTCATCCGCATTGCCTGGACAGCAGTTCTCCCCAGTCCGGTACGGCAATAGAAATCTGATCATCAGTTGTTTCCCAGGATCCCGCCCTTAACCATCAACCTCAACTCGGATGCAAACATTGAAGCTGCCATGTATCCATTCCTCAACATCAACAATATGACACGTGTCCGCAGAAGGGAGGTTGAGATAATAGACCACGATAGTTTCGATAAGTTTGTGGTTTCGATACGGATAGATAAAATATCGAACCTTCTAACCCCTGTATCCCAATTAATACAGAATATTAGAATCTTGTTCCTTTGCGGCGGCGTATATGATCTCGCCGTGAAGTAGGCGACGTTTCAGCATAGCAGGTAAATCATGGTCCTGAGCCATTCTTCGAAACAGGTATCTTTGTTGAGGGGTGAAGAGTTCGAGACAGGACGAAAATAGTCAACAAGGAGCGTATACAATCCGATCGTTGGATAGATGTGAGACGCAAGGTCCGTTGGGTAAACAATTTTCCTATTCGAGGAGTTAACCAAGGATTGGCCCGGGGACGGACAATCTCATCACTACAACATACGCTGGTTCTGTATGGTAATCCTAATATCTCATAAACTCCCGTCGATACTGGACAATGTGCCCATCTCATGGGCCCATGGGGCCAACCCGTCATACTTTCTATATCGCGGGCAAGAATGTCGACTGGAAATGAGCTGGATATCTCGGGGTACTAGTAAGCAATCGTCACTTGGCGCCCTTTTGAAGTCGGGTGTATCTTGAACGGTGGTGGCTAATAGACTGCCGCACTGCTCAGGAGCGCCAGCATAATAATGTAAAGTAGGGTCAAGCCCAGAGACGGGTCTTGATGATGAGTTTATATCTGTCCCGACTTGTCATGTTATCGGTGCGGAGGACGCGTTCCTAGAGGGTCGAAGACATTGTATGATATCTGCAATATTGACAACGCCGAGTATTTTGATCATGACAGTGATCATACTCTTCCAAGGAACCCGAGAACGCTGCGGGAACTGGGAGATGTGAGCCTCAAGAGGATCCGGAAGGGCTTGCACTGCAAGTGATATGTTGGCTTGCTGTATTTGGCCCTCGATCATGTTTCAGCATCGAAACTGTTGCTTGCAATTCTTGTACCTGTACCTGATACATCATTAGAGGTATAATCTCAACTTTCACCGTCCTGGCCATGTATACCAGAAACATTCCCGAGGCCTCACAGGAATGTCTATATAGTTAACTCATCCCTATCTCAAAATACTCCATACAATGCCTGAATATCTGGGAAGGTGTCCCGAGCAAATGACAAAACATCATTCAGCCGTACAGTATTACCGGTCACTCACATTCATCAACCCTACGACAGAAAGGAAAAGCTGTCATGGAAACTTAAGACAAGGTCAGACTTCCCATCTCCATTCCTTAATCCCTCGATTTACCATACCAGATCACTTAAGGTTACGCACGAACCCAAGGGCATGGCAGGAAGGTTCTCTTCGACGTTTACCCGTCATTCTAAACGTCAAACCATAACCTAATTACGCTGGGAGCGAATGCTCGACTGGCGGGTGAATTTCCCGGAGTTTGAAGTAACGTCAGGTATAGCTAATCTACGCAAGGGTACCTAGATTATCCCCTCCCCCCTCCCCATCGTAGGAGTTTGGCTCGTTATGTTGATCAACATGTTTACTCGGGTGTCGTTGTCAATCTACCTTAGGAGATGTTACCTATGTGGCGTTTTACGTGGTAATTAAGGATCTTAAACATTTGAAGGCAAAGGGTATTGACTACTAGAGAAATTGGTCTTCTGAAAGGAATAAACTATAGTCAATAGAGGAAATTAGTCGGCCGGTTCTTCCTATTTTCCCTCTATCCAGCCTCCTCCATAGCAACCTGCCATGGAACGACATGTACCCCTTTACATACCAGCATTTCGGCCGGAAGATGGCTTCGGAATGGAACGTTGGGAATTGGATGAAGGGAACCGACGCAAGGAGAGAAAACGGAAGTATCCGTCTAAGATTACTTAATGCGGTTACATCCAGCCCTTGTGGCCAAACATCAGACGAAGTGACAAGTGAGGCCGAGGAGAACTCCGGAAAAGATGTGAGAGGCATCTAACTTTTCGCATAGGAGAGGTCACATTACCCGTCAACTGTGGTTCACGCGTCGGCAGTCCGCCGGTTAGGGTGGCCCCGACGGCGAGCTTATTGGGGTTATACTATGGTCTAGGCACGTCTGGGCCCGTCTGGGGATCTAGTCAACGAACTTCGGTTCGTTTGCATAGGTTTTGTAACTGGGGTTTGAGGAGATGGGGTATTTGGGGCGTTGTGTGGTTGTGCTCATCCCTATGACCTACTAGTATGTGGATACCCAGGCCATTGCGATAACTATGATGTCTTGGAGGAAATGGATAGGTTGGTGTGGCGATCCGTAAATCAGTATAGAATAAATACATTAGTAGGTATATTGAAGGTATAAACGATCGACAATATATCGGTGTATCCGAGATGTGGTATCAAGCCCTTCATGCTACCCAACGCCGTGCTAGAAATATATGACCCGGTCATCAAATACAAATATTCGCTCCCCAGGAACGCCAAACAATCCTTGCTTTTATTTCGTGCTTTTAGGAAGAACATCACTTCAATGTCTGTAATCCCCGCTTCAGAATTCGGACTTGATCAAACGAGCTGCAGTATTCCTGGAGGGAGTTGAGCGCGTCCTTATCCAGCCCTTTGTAGCTGCCCCATGGGCTATTGCTAGACGCGCTCGACGGTCTCCAGGGCGAGTTCCGGTGCGACCGCGTTGAGGTCTCTCGAGAAGACTTGTGTGTTGTGTCAAATTCAGTCGCAGGAGGTAGGATTAATGGATGGTCATGGTGTGACATCGGCACCGGGAGTGTCTTCTCCGGTGGAGAGCTTGCAGTGGATTCCGAGTCGTGTATGGGTATGGGCTGGTAGTTCTTGGAGTAGGTCACGTTGTTCAGTGTTTGGAGGTTGTTGGTTAGAGTATTGCCGAGCAGGGAAGACATAGTGTCTGCAGCAGCTGAAGCAAAAGAGAATATGTAGAGACTGAGGCCTCGGAGGACTTGAAGAGATTCAGTGTTATACAAGGTGTGTATTAGACAATATTTGTAGATGCATACAAATTGATGGGATCTGAAAAACGTCCTACGTGAAGGCCCTTATATAACATTTTTCAAACCACAGCGGAGATTGAACCTCGTATACGCCACGGTGGCGGTCGAATGAAATGCATGACCTTGACCCCTTCAGTCCCGGTTGAAAGGGAAGTTATGGATCGGATAGCCGAGCTGCAGGATGTAGGTGTCATGTTCTAGTTCCACGGATCAGAATGCAGGGTGAGATGTGGGAATTCCGTCTAGGCCACATGGGGGACAGCCCGCAGACAGCGTTGTTTCTTGTGTCGACTCTGCGTGGCCCTGGATGGCGCCCAATAAGGGATATGGTTTACTGTCAACCTTTCTCGGGTGAAATATAGCCTGAGAGACACCTTCCAAGACGGGTATGAGCTACGAATCGGACAAAACTTCTATGCCTGCCGCTTGGAACATTCTTTCGAAGGAAATCACTTCCAGGCCTGCAATAGGGTTTATGACAGGCAGAATCTGGACCCCGGAATCGAAGTCAAATTCCCCATGTCACCCAATTGGCCAATCAAGCAGTCTTGGGCGAAAACTTGGGACGTCCCGTATTTTGCTGTTGGCACCGTGTCGTACCGAACCAAAGGGTGGATTTATCCACTAGTTGTTCAACGGCCCGAAGATGGGCCCGTTATCAAGGGTGAGTAGTAGGTGAGATCGACTTTACAGTGATCAACCCCAGAAGATTGGAAAATGGATTCGAATTGTTAGCAGTGTTTACTTTTACAAACTGATTACACTGAGTGTGGTTCGTTCTTTTGATGGAGGAGGTCGTGCCACTTTCTAAACACATTATTGGGATCGAAGGTTCTCTTCAGCTGTTGCAACCGCTCCAAGTTCTCGCCAAATAGCCTCGCAGCACTGATATTATGCCCTATTCAATGTCAATCACTGTGTTGTGTCGATCGGCGGCAACATGAGTGACGCCACCAGGAGGACTTAAAGACTATTGCTAGCTCTCGATGGGGTGTCTGTGGACTTACCAGCATAGTTGGCATATGCGGCTACGCGATTTTCGCCCTCCTCACGGGATCCGAAATTCGCGATCTTGGCCATAATGCCTTGCTGCTCTGTCAGCATCTTCTGGTCGAGATCTGGATCCTGCCAGCAGAAGATCGAGCCAACATTGTAGTACCGGCCTCGATTAGCGCAAGCCGTAGCATCCAATGGTACTGCAATGATGTGCGTATATGGCAGCAGCTCAAACATGAGTACACTATTTCCCACTCGCCTCCAGCTTCTCATTACCCTGTCGAATTGGCTGTATACATCGTGTACAAAGTCGGTGTCAAGTGGCGGGGAGATATTGGTCCCGTTGATGCTTTTGCGGCCCTCTGGAGACGGTTCTACATTAGCCACCGCGTTGAGTTTCGTATAAGACATCATATCGATTTGCGATGCAGCAGGGCCAGCTGACAGGAGGGGTTCGAAAAAGTCTTCTGCCTCTTCGCGGGTGCCATGATAGAAAGGAATGGCCAGTATAGCTGTCTCCGTCATAAACGGAGGCGCCGTGAACCCAAACATGAGGCCGCTGTTCTCATCCATGCGACGGTGGAATTCATTGGCGAAATCCACAATCTTTGGCAGCTTATCTGGTGTAAAGTACAGAGCACCCCCGAATACGTGATGTTTCAGATCATACGCACGAAAGACAAGCTCAGTCACCACACCGAAGGCTTGTCCGGCACCTCGGGCCGCCCAGAAAAGCTCTGGGGAAGTAGTTTCTGACGCTTCGACAATGGAGCCATCTGCGAGTACCATCCTGACACTCAGTAGGCTGTCCATGATCAGACCGTACCTCCCTGTCAGCCATCCGTATCCTCCCCCCAGTGTCGACGCCGCGACGCCAGCATGACTTGAAGTGGCACCTACAACCACTAAATCGTAGGGAGCCGTGGAACTGTTGACATCCTGCCAGGTGGCACCACCTTGGACACAAACCGTCTTTGAAGCGGGGTCTGTGAGGACTTTCCGCATCTGAGACAGGCTGATGACAATGCCTCCATGAGATGCCGAGGACCCGGTGGTGGAATGTCCCCCGGCTTCTACCGCGAAAGAGATACGATGCTTTCGGGCAAACCTAATCACTTCAGAGACTTCGGATGTGGACGTGACTTTGACTACTGCGCCCTGTGGTACTGTTAAAGGGATGTTCCGTGGATACTGAGCAACGGCTTTGCAGGAGTATTAAAAAGAGTAGAGCATTATCAGTTGTGAGGTCTCTGGTATGCCCCGGTAAGAGTCAAAGTTATACGCACAGCTTCTTTCTCGCACGTATCACTCCATCGCTTGATGCTCTCCGCATACTCTTCGGAGCCAGCGCATATCACCCGAGCCCGGGTGCCTTCCAGCTGTTGCTGGAGTTCAAGTATATGGGCGTACGACAGAAATGGCATATTGTACTAATTCCAGGATATTTCGGTCAGCAGTTCACGCCAAAGGCATGTGGCGAAATGCGCCTCGAGCGTTCCTCGACGTATATTCTGATCAGTTCCTAATCAGACAGGAAGTCGTCTGACGAGCCTTTATGTAGCTCCGATGAAAGTTGGTGACATCGGAATTACAGATATTGGCTAGGTCCTTCTCTTTATACCAATTTTCGCTACTCCGAAAGATCATATGATAGATTGGTACCTTCCTCGATCGCAGTCAAAAACAATCAAGATTCCCGTTCTTTTATGGAGCATCAAAGGAGAAGGTTCAAACCATCGAAGGTCACGTTACATATGCAACCAGAGGGCGATCCATACGAATGCATCCGCTGGGCGAACGTTCAATTTCCCTAAAGCGATCCGTGCTCAGATCACACACCTCACAAACAAAACATCGCATGAGGACTTTTTCTCTTATGGCAAGATAGTGTAACACAGTCTTCTCGAAGATACACACGGCTTGACGTGGTTGGGAACACCTCTGACTCGATGGGGAAGGCTCACAACCTGGTTCCATGGTTGAGGATCTTCCCTTTTCCAATGACACAACATCCCCGGAGGTTAGCTGACAATCCGCTATAAAACAGCTGATTCTTTGAACAAAATTCCTCTAGTCTAATTATAGAGGATCCACAAAGATATCGACCCATTACTTAAGTCTCATCTTGAATATGCCTGATTGGAAGATGGACTCAACGTCGGAGAAGGATACAAATACAAATAACGACGGCTTAGCTTTCCAAGTATTGCTGGTAGTGTGTTTAACCGTATACGTTGTGACTGCTATATGGTAAGGCGGCTGTTCGTCCTTGCTCTTGGATATAATGTTGTCTTCCTGCGTCTGATATGTCAAACCTGACTGTGAGAACAGGTTACTACTGAGATCTTACTGTCTCGCATATTCGAGTCTAGCCTTTGGAACTACTGATCCCGCAATAGCCAATGTACCGGCCCAGGACAGCATGGAAAGAAGATTAGACTGTCTGGAAAGAGTTGCCCCTACCAAGCCCTTCAAAATCTGGTGGTTGTCTGTCCAAACGATACGATCCCCGTTGAAGCAATCGGATCATATATTCACCTGGTAGGACTACTCTCAATCAGTTCTCGTCGGCTAGGGCCACCCTGATATCAGATGGGGTACTGATATGTCGATTAGTTCTATTTGTCTTGACAAGGTCCGCAAGAAGGACCCGATCCACACCCTTCAATGCCGCCACGTGTTTCACCGAGAGTGCCTGGAGAATTGGTTCTTGGGATTCCACAATCAATGCCCAATGTGTAAAAAGCCCTTCTTTGAAGAGCTCGATATGAGCCCGGAATATGCAGTGTAGGTCAGCCCGAGAGTCAGGGATTGACACAAAAATGGGTGTCCTGTTCAGCAAAGCGTGAGAGCTTTTTGGTCATTTGGCATTGATTCATCCAATAGGGCGCATCTACTATGTCTAGCCGATGGATCTCTTTCTTGTTTTGGTTTTTAAGCGTGGAGTTGAGCAGTTTATGAACGTTACGGAAAGCGACGGTGGACCCAGGCAGGCATCAAGGAAAGACCCCGCAGTCGAACAATCCATTCTAATGAAAATTCAAAGCTCCCCAGATCTGGAATTGTGGGGGTGGCAAAGGACTGTCTAGAATTCTCGTAAGACTAACGTCGCGATGACGGTGGTGTAGCCATGGTTACTCGCGGAAGATGCGGATTGATGGGGGTTACGGTTAGTAATCCATGACAACGTGGCTCGAACTTGCCAATTCTGAGAGAATCTTGGTTTATGCAAATTTCCATTGCACCCGACCACGTTGGGACATTCAGAGGTCTCGATAGGCATGCCCTGTAGTATGTAGGTGAGCTATTCGAGGGAGGCTGTTTGGGACAGACGTTTTCAACAACTGGCCATGCTTCATTGTAGACATCTCGACATGTATGTGCACTTCCTGCCGTGTACATTAGCTATGCATAAGAACGATCAACTCGGAACGAATGCAAGCACGATGAGCAGGCGGCACAAAGGTTCAAGCCCAGGGACATGAGTTGCTGCCCAAGGCCACAAAGAGAACCACGTGACTACATGATTTGCCGACACCTCAGGCCACAGCGCTAAAGCGGATTCCGGCCGGAGATCTCGAACCATCACGATCAGTGTCACTCTCTCGTCCTGTCAAACCCGGCCCAGTCCTACCTTCGACACCAATGGCATCGACAATGAGACCACTCGTCCAAATGATCGGACGAGCCTCGCGCTCCAGTATTCCCTCCCTCGAACGCAGCACCCTCCGATCAATCCCGTCGCAAAACGCTTTCGTTCCTCTCCGAACAAAACCAACCCACTCCGCATACACTCAGACCCTCAGACACAATGGCCTCGCCTCCCAGCGCTCCTTCAGCACGACCACGTTCCGCGCTCGGGCACGCACAATGGGTCAGCTGAAGGCCCGGAACTCCACCGGTCCGTTCTCGTGGAAGTCCGCGCTGCTCTTCGTCATTACCGGTGCGGCCATGATCGTGTATTTCCGGGTGGAAAAGGAACGGTTGGCGCGGAAGCGCATCGCAGAGATGAGCAAGGGAGTTGGCCGGCCGAAGGTTGGAGGCCCATTCGTGTTGAAGGACTTGGACGGCAAACAGGTTACCGAAGAGGATCTGAAGGGGAAGTACAGCTTTGTAAGTTCTTCAATATCTTGGAACAAAGCTGTATATGCCCATTACGGTGCTAATAACGGTCTGCTAGGTTTACTTCGGCTTCACGCATTGCCCTGATATCTGCCCGGACGAATTGGACAAGATGGCCGAGATTATTGACAAGGTGAAGGAGGCTACCAAGGGCGAAAACATCTTCTTGCCGGTCTTCGTTACTTGCGATCCTGCTCGCGATACCCCCGAAGTGCTGCGCTCGTATCTCCAAGAGTTCCACGGGGATATCATCGGCTTGACGGGCACCTACGAGCAGGTGAAGAACATGTGCAAGCAGTACCGGGTGTACTTTAGCACACCGCAGAACGTGAACCCGGGCGAGGACTATCTGGTGGACCACAGTATCTATTTCTACCTGATGGGTGAGTGACATCGTCTGGATAGTATACCGTCCGAGTGCTAATTCCGCCGTACAGACCCCGAGGGCGACTTCGTCGAATGCATTGGCCGCCAGGACACCCCCGATTCGGCCACCAAGGTCATCCTGGAGCACATCAACGACTGGAAGCGCGAAGGCAAGCCATTGAGGAAGGACTAGAGTGTACGAATAGCGTGGAAAAGTATGTACAATAGAAATACCCTACTCAGATACGTGTCGATAGCAAGTAGCATTTTACAACCGTCCGTAAATCGTGAAAATATACCCTCTAGAGCCGATCAGCACACAGACACTAACACCCATATCTCTCATCGCCACCAACTCACCATATATATAACCACCAACCCGCACAAAACCTCACTTCCCAGCAACCACCTTCCCATCCCCATCCCTCTCCCGATTCTCCCTCCACTCCATCCCCCCATCCACAAACTCCTCCCTCTTCCAAATCTCCGCCTTCTCCTTACAAATCTCCAACACCTCCTCCCCAGCCCTCCACGCCGCCCGCCGATGCCCCGAACTCACCGCAATCACAATACTCGCCTCGCGAATCGGCACAACCCCCAACCGATGAGCAATGACAATCCCCGTCAGCCCATGTTTCGCGACCGCGTCCCGCGCGATCCCCGCTAGCGTCTTGAACGTCAGGGGCGGGTACGCCGTGTAACTCAGCTGTGCGACGGGGCGGTCCTCGAAGGTATTTCGCGTCGTGCCGAGGAAGAGGACGTTTGCGCCGGCCGCGGGGGAGGAGATTTTGTCGAGCGCGGCTTGTGGGTTGAGGGGCGCGTAGGTGAGTTCGAGGTGGATGTTCTGTGCTTCGTCCGTGAGGTGGCGTGGGTAGGTTTGGGGGTCGAGGTGTGCGGGTGTTGCTGTTGGTTCTTCGGAGGCCATTTTGGAGGTGGGTTGAAGCTGTGTGTGTTTGAGGAATTGCTGGGTGTTTTTGAGGCGGGTTACGTCATAGATGTGTTCTTGGGGAGTTGTGGGTGGTTGTGTCGCCTTGTGAGGGAGGGTAGGTCGTGCGGTCCCTGTTTTGAGGAGAGCTTTGGAGATGGAGGTGGTTTATGGAGGTCAGGTCGGTGTTGATATCGGAGGAATCGTTGAAGTGAGGGGGGATTGCTTAGATTGACGGCCTGAGGCGGTTGAGGCCTTATCGCTGCTGTGGGGTAAAGTGGGACCGTCGGTATATACTTTTGGATATCAACATAGTCAGGGTTCGATTGCTAGAACTTTAATGGTAAACTTGGCTATATCTTGACAAACTAAGAAAGTAACAAATAAACAGAATGACACAACTCGCATTACAAGGTTAAGCTACATCTACCTGTCCCGGGAAGTATCATTTGTCAATATGTGCATAGATTTGCGGAATATGGGACTGGTATATAACTGTGATATGACCTCTAATAGCTAAACGAAATCATTCATACACTGGGCAGGTACACTTTGGGAGATGGTTGCAACAATGCGGATTCGAACAAATCCTTCCCAGGCTTGTCGTGTATCACACCGATCCACATATATGACTCCAAGACATCTCTCATCGCTGGCCATGAGTTTACCTTGCATAGTTGGCTATTAGCCCGCAGCCAAGGCTTCAACCATTCGTCGTCAGCAGTACTGAAGACTGAGATACCACCGACCATCAGGAGCCAAAGCACGACATGAGATGAGACGCCATCTAAGTCCTTGAGAGAGACAAGACTATCTTTATAAGAAGCAGCGAATTGAATATACTGACGTCGGATATCCTGCCATTGCAGGAAGACATGGGAGGAGAATGCAAGAAGCCCGAGGCGGATGGCTTCAGCAATCGAGCCGGTTTCAAACTTGATATGGAGCAGGCGGTACATCACTGAAGTCATTGTCTCCATGAAGAAATCCATAGACAGTCTTTGTTGTGCGCTGATGGCTTCATTGACGAGGACACAAAATCGCTTCATTATACTCCATGTTCGGGCTAGATTATCGTCTATATTTTCGAGGAATCGTTCGTTGGCGTGCTTACCCAGAGTTGGTGCTGTCAGCATCGAATGCAGTAAATGGTCGTCGAAGAAGAGAGGCCTTGTGCACCCTTGAAGAGCGATTGATAAGTCAGACCTATTTCACGGTTAGAGGGTTTGCTTCTTAGTTGTTCATGTTGGTCGACTCGCTCACCGGTATATTTCGGTCTTCAGATTCCCATCGTAGGTCAAGTTGGCCATGCCACCTCTTAGATCCACGATTTTACGAAGGCCCCTGAGGTGGTGCTTGGCAGAGTCCAGATCCTCCTTGACATGTGCATGCGTTGTGAGAAACAGAACCACCATTATCGTAGCATCTGACGTTTTGGCTTGTTCGTCCGGAAGGGACAGCCTCTCGCGGAGGAGTTGAAGCGTTTTCAAGAAGTGTAAGGAGGCCGGCTTGTTGGCTTCAGATTGCCAACCGGACAGTCCGTCGAAGAAATCCTGCGTTATGAAAGCCATACCATGGAGATAAACAGGATCCACTATCAACAGATCGTGCCACTGGTCATTTTTCTTCTGGAAGGAAAGGTATCTCTCCAGCGTGAATAAGGTTCTCTTCGACATAGCCGAAACTGTATTCCCGTCGGTAAGGATACACTCAGTAGGGCTTTACTGTACCTGCAGCTTTGACTTACATCTTACGATGTCCACAGCCAACGCCGGTTCCACTGTGTCAGCGAACTGTAGCAGGGAGACTTCCGAGCCAACCGTTTGTGGGATGATGGAAGGTGGCCTCTTGGTCAATTGACGAGACTGCTTCCGCAATGTTCTATGTTTTTCGTTGCAAGTCTCGTCGTGTTCTAACTCGGCTCGATCAACGCGCCCCGAACGTCGGTATTTGCCACGGTTCTTTCCCAGCATGACATGGCTCCTAATAAGCCTGCGCGTATCTGGGTCTGGCAGCGCCGTTCCCGTGGATATGATGATCGGTAGCATCACTGCCCAAATAGTGAGAGTATGCCGCTTGAGGTAAATGATACTATGAGTTAATGGATGACGGAGATAACTGATCCGCCTTTCAAAGATATGTCTAAGCAATAGGCAACATGAGAAGCATCGAGAGCATGAGTCAAGCTGGAATATGCCTTGTGCCTTTCCTTCGTGAATTAATCGCCTATTTAAGGATACAGTCTGGAAGTGAGTTAAGTCCGCTTACAGCCATCTTTGAAGCGCCTCTTGGGGCTGACGATTGACCCAACGGCCGCCGATTGGCTGAACGATTGTTATCCTATTCGGGAATAGCGAAGGGCCACTAACCCGTTTGAGAGAAAAGAGTATATCGCATTTATTCAAAATTACTGCAGCCAGAGAGGCGACGTCCTTGGAATAAACATATATAAGGTCTTCAAGATTGTTACAATCCCAAGATTCCAGAATCTCCGAGACATACCTCAATCCCACGAGTCGCAAAAACACTACTAGATACGGTACTACTTCACAATGACCGCTTCAAGAGACCTGCCACCCTGTACCACTCCATACTACCCAAAGATCTATCTCAAGTCTCAGCTGTGCACGAAGCCCCAATGGCCGCCGAAAGGTACCACTCTTACTGATAAAGTCGCCATCGTGACAGGAGCCAACACCGGCTTGGGTTTGGAAAGCGCTCGCCAACTCCTATCATACAATATCTCCCATTTAATCATTGCCGTTCGCTCAGTAACAAAAGGCGAGACAGCAGCAGCTATACTCCGAAAGGAGTATCCCATGGCCTCCATCGAAGTCTGGGATCTCGACATGAGCTCATACGATTCTATTCGGGCCTTTGTTCGCCGCGCCGAAAGTCAGCTATCTCGTCTTGACATAGTCATTCTCAATGCCGGATTGGGGAAAATGCACTTTGGGGTTGTTCCAAGTACTGATCATGAGGAGGTCATCCAAGTGAATTACCTATCGACGGTACTCCTTTGCATTCTCCTCCTCCCTGTGCTCAAGAACAAAGCACCAGCTGGTACGCCTGGCCGACTTAGCATCGTCAATTCGGGCACCGCTCTGATGGCAACATTCCCCCACAGAAAGTTCTCTCCACTCCTGCCCTCGTACGACGACCCGAAGAACTTCGACTGGACCGAGCAATACAGCGCATCCAAACTCCTCGGGCACATGTTCATGTGGAAGCTCGCCGACTACGTATCCGCGGATGACGTGGTGGTGAACTTGGTGGACCCAGGTTTTACCAAGGGCACTCAGCTCCACCGTGATGTTTCTAGTGTTCTATCAATGATCATGTCCCTTGCGAAAGTGGCCACTGCTCGCACGGTCAGGGATGGAGCTTCTACATATGTGGACGCTACGGTGGTGAAGGGCAAGGAGTCCCACGGCTGTTTTTTGATGGACTGGCAGATTCGACCGTAAGTATACTGACTGCATCTTCCACGTCACCTCTCGCTAATATATGTTTACCAGGTTTGCTACTGTCCTCTATACGCCGGAAGGGAGACAGGCCATTGAAAGGCTATGGGATGAAACGATGGCCGAACTGAAATTCGCCGATGTCCAGAGTATTTTTCGGTCTATGAACAGGATGTAACTATTCATCGCTAGATGGTTGAGTTATTCTACTTCTCAGGTCACTGTTGGATCGTATACGGCTATCGTCGGAGACTGGAGTTGTAACACTTAATTATGATTTCTCTTACTCATTTTGATATAAATAATGAAGATATTAAACCCAGCATAATGTTAAACACAAGTATTACACGCACTTCAAATCCGCAAGTAGCAGCTCCATGATTGATCGACAAAGGATCCGCCGAAAGCTCTCCGTGTCGTATCATCATTCGATCAACGCCCAGGTGGAACCAGAGCCCTACCAAGTCTCACTGGCTGTTGGAACCTGGTTAGACCCCCAATTCATAAGTTCCCCCTGGCGAGCTATAGTCCCGAAAGCAAGTCCATAGGCCCGCAGCGCATCCACCGATAATTTCTCCGCTCGATAGAGCAGCTGCCCCGCGGTGGATGTTATCGGATAACAAGCTGCCCCTCCCAACAACAACAAAACATATACTAGATAAACTGAAGCCTCCCTCCTTCTCCTTGAAATCCAATTTCCTCTAGGAAAAGTGCACACTGTCTAGACGCACACACGATGGCCAAACCCGCCACCCAGATCCACCGCGCCTGGTGGAAGGAAAGCTCCGTATATCAGATCTGGCCCTGCTCGTTCAAGGACTCCAATGATGATGGTATCGGCGATATTCCCGGGATCATTTCCAAGCTCGACTACATCAAGAACCTCGGCATTGATATTGTCTGGCTCTGTCCCTCGTATAAGTCGCCCCAGGTGGACATGGGCTACGATATCGCTGATTACTACGACATCGCCGATGAATACGGCACGGTCGCAGATGTGGAAAACTTGATCAAGGGCTGCCATGAACGCGGCATGAAGCTCCTCATGGACCTAGTCGTGAACCACACCAGTGACCAGCATGAGTGGTTCAAGCAGTCGCGCAGCTCGAAGGAGAGCGAGTATCGGGATTGGTACATCTGGCGACCGGCCAGGTATGACGAGCAGGGGAATCGCCAGCCGCCGAACAACTGGGTGTCGCATTTTCAGGGTAGGTTTTCGCGTTCATTTGTTATAGATGTCTTTAGGGTTTGTTGGGCTAATTGCGATCGCAGGGAGCGCATGGGAGTGGGATGAGCATACACAGGAATACTATCTGCATCTGTACGCCACAGAGCAGCCGGACCTCAACTGGGAGCATCCACCGGTCCGCAAAGCTGTCCACGATATTATGCGCTTTTGGCTGGACAAGGGCGCTAACGGGTTCCGCATGGACGTGATCAACTTCATCAGCAAGGACCAGCGTTTCCCAGATGCCCCGATTCACGACCCCCGTACCCCTTGGCAATGGGGTGACAAGTATTATGCCAATGGGCCTCGGTTGCACGAATACTTCCAGGAGCTTGGCAAGATTCTGAAGGAGTACGATACGTTCAGTGTGGGTGAGATGCCCTTCGTGAAGGATACGCAAGAGGTGCTTCGAGCGGTGCAGTATGACCGGAATGAGCTCAATATGATCTTCAACTTTGAGCATGTTGACATTGACCACGGTACATACGACAAATTCGAGTTGGGTAGTTGGAAGCTCACCGACTTGAAATCTTTCTTTGAGAGGTGGCAGAAGTTCATGTATGAGAATGATGGCTGGAACGCCCTGTACTGGGAGAACCACGACCAGCCGCGGTCGGTCGATCGGTACACCAATGCAAAGGAGGAAGACCGAGTTATTGCATCCAAGATGCTGGCCACGATCTTGGCATTGAAAGCTGGGTCTCCGTTTGTATACCAGGGCCAGGAGATTGGCATGGGGAACGTGCCTCTCGAATGGGACATCGAAGAATATAAGGATATCGACTGCCTCAACCACTGGAAGAGGTAAGTATTCTATTTCCGCTTTGTTTTCTACTGTGTGGACCGCACACTGACCTTTATCTGGCACAGACTACCAAAGGATCCTGAAATTCAAAAGATTGCCCGACAGGAATACCAGAAGAAGTCCCGCGACAACGGTCGTACCCCAGTCCAATGGGCTGATGCACCAAACGGCGGATTCACTGGCCCCAACGTCAAGCCCTGGATGTCTGTCAACCCGAACTACGCTCGCGGCATCAACGCCGAGGCCCAGGTCAACGACCCCAACTCAACCTACAGCTACTGGGCGTCAGTGCTCGGACTCCGCAAGAAATATGTGGACATCTTTGTATATGGAAACTACGAGCTGGTCGACCGGGATAGCCAGGAGATCTTCGCGTATACCCGTCAGTATGAAGACCAGAAGGCGCTGGTGTTGGCCAACTGGACTGACGGCATATTGGAGTGGGATTCTTCTTCGAATGGTGTGAAGGGAGTAAAGGAAGTGTTGTTAAACACATACGACAGCCCAAGCGATGCGAAGGACAGGTTTTCTGGCTCCAAGTGGTCTCTTCGTCCATATGAGGCTGTGGTGCTGCTCATTGAGGCCTAATTAGATCTGTCAGTCTTATAATAGTCGGCCATTTAATATCAACCCTACTTCACGGACTCTGCAATACTGTAGGCTGACCAGAAGGAAACAAAGCTAGAAATATTGCACTATTACGCTTATGGTAAGTGGATGCTCCAAAATAGCATCCGACGTCCGGAAAGGGGAAGGGGCGTTGTTGTTGGCCAATGAGAGGTGAAGAGAGCAGGCACCTGAACACCGGATTAAACAATTGATCTACACACTTCCGCTTTCGGACATCGCGAAACCAGGGACGCAAAACCCCAGGTTCAACACCGTATGAACGCTTTGAACTGCATGACGTTCCCGGAAATACTGACTAAATCAATCTAGTTTCAAGGAGGCGGAGTCATGGTCAGTCCTGACAGTATGGTGGCGAGAAAGTCCACCTCGCCAGCAACCAAAGGCAACATGCACCTATGACTTGACCACATTGCACCAGATACTCACAGTCGCGCTGCTGGGCCGTACCAGGTCCAATTATTGAGGAAATGACTTTCGTTATGAGCCGGTGGAACACAAAGAGCATCATCAAGCTCGTAGCAGCAGCTTTTTGCAGCTACTTCATCTTCGGCGTCCTCTTAGCCGATCGAGAGGCGTACTACTCGACGACTAGAAATGTGATTCGTGCGGGACAGCATCATCTTACGGAGGAGACGACGTTTGACCGTATTAATAATGAGACCCTCGGGGTGAGTTTGCTTACGCTCATTCGGTTTGGGATGTGCTAACTTTCCATAGTTTGAACACATCTACGCCATTGGCATGAAGGAACGTACTGATAAACGTGATTATCTTACTTTGGCTGCTTCTTTTCTCGGGATCAAGGTCGATTGGAGAGATGGAGTGTACCCGGACAGCGTAGCTGAGAAGTCTTATCCATTGGTTCGTATGCTTCATTTCTCACAAGGTCTTTGCTAATTGTTGAGTTAGAGACTGGGTGAGTCGGGTGTGAAGCCCGCCGCCATAGGCTGTTGGCGCGCTCATATGAATACCCTTATTGAGTACGTCTTACCACCAGCATCTGACTAGCGCACTATACTAACGACAGATCAATAGTATCGTCGAAAATCGCTACTCCACAGCCCTTATCCTAGAAGACGACGCCGACTGGGATGTATCAGTGCGGCAGCAACTCGCCGAGTTCGCGCGAGGCGTACGCACTCTGACTAACAACCAGCACGAGTCCAAGAAAGCCCCGTACGGTACGAACTGGGACATTCTCTGGGTTGGGGGCTGCGCGTCGGGCGCACACCAGAACGAGACCGATTTCTACGTTATTCCCAACGATCCCACGGTCCCGAATACCACAATTCGGGGGCCTTGGGAGTCTCCAGCAGGACCGTCTATCAAATGGAGACAGGAGCATCCCGAGTGGCCGGTCGACTCCACACGGTACATCTATCGGGCCAACATGGGTTGCTGCACGTTCGGGTATGCTGTAACCTTGGAGGGTGCCCGAAGGATTCTGGCCGAGCTTTCAATCAACTATCTGAATCTGCCTGTGGACAACGCTATGAGTGATTTGTGTGCGGGCAGTAATCGCCCCCGGTTGCGCTGTTATGCGCCTTTCCCTAATTTGATTGGGACGTTCAGATCAGAAGGTTATGTCTCACGAGATTCCGATATTGATCAGTGGGAAGACCGGAAGTTCGAGTGGCATCCGGCACTGGCTTATAATATGGTCTTCAGCACCAGATTGAATATCCACCGACTGGTCGCAGGCGAGGAGATGGTGTATTCCCAGTGGAGAGAGTCGCCTGACCCGTGGTCGAAGGCTGAGGTGAAGCTGGGGGAGCTTCAGTATCCAAGAGGAGTGTTTGTTTCTTGAGAATCATATATACAGCCTGCAAGTTTTGGAACTACTATACCAATGTTATTTAGCACTATCTCATAGTTGGAGTTTTCGTTGATTATATGAAATTAATATGGCGTCTATTGAGAAAAATACATTGATCAGAGATTGCGACGTAGCCACACCGGCCTACTTTATGACGAACAGATTGAATAACAGATTGCGTATAGTCCTCTCACCCATAGTTCAACATCTCAGCGACGTAGCATCGTACCTATGCGTAGGTGGAGCCAGATGCTACTACATTTCCGGATGCGTATTCCATATCACCCAAGACCAAATGCGGCCCAGAAAGAATGCCAGCCTGCTGGAATTCTCATACAGAGATCAGAAAATATTGTTAAAAACTGAGCAGGACCAGATGTCGTATTCAAACAATTCACAGCAACATCATGATACACGAACCTCATCCAGCTCTGTCTGTTATCATGGACTTATACATCTAGACGGGTCATCGAAGTCGAGAGCCCTACCAGCACCCTGACGCACAGTGAACGACCCATCAACCCATGGTCTACTGGATGAGCGAAAACAGGAACCGAGATTGTCCCCTGACCAGAGTGGCGGTCCTGAGGTAGCATTCGGCCCATTCATAACCAAGCCATACTCGCCCCAGGTTCTCGACAGTGGTGATGTATGCGCTGCAACTTCGACTGACACGCACTGCCCCAGTATTGTTGATTATATATCCATTGCGTGCCTTTACCTCTGCCTTTTAAGCTGCATGTAGCATTATACTTGATCATTTATATAAGGTCTAACGCAAGATGACCTACACATCGGAAAAGCCGGAGGACCCTGAAACAGGGCTGTTGATCAAGTCACCAGTGAAATATGAAACAGATGAGAAGATCGAATACGCCAGTGATCATGGCTCCGAGGAATCTACGGAGCGATTGATCCCCGGACCTAGCTTCATTATCTGGACTGGGATCAACATCCTCTCCACCGTTGCCATTGTAAGCCCAATCCTATACATATCAATTTGCCAAATCTAATCGCTAACCCACATATCCCACCAGGTCTTCACGAACAAATCCATCCTCTCAGACCCCTCCTTCCGCAACTGCCAAGTATCCTTCGCAGCATACCATTTCTTCGTCACAGGCGCCACATTATGGGCCGCATCGCGCCCCTGGTGTGGCTTCTTCGTCCCCAAAAGCGTAGCAATCGTCCAGATGCTCCCGCTCGCCGCAGCAATGGGCGTCCAAGTGATTCTCCAAAACCTAGGACTCGCACACTCCTCCGTCATGTTCCACCAGCTGGCCCGCTTGCTCCTCACCCCAGTAACCGCCTTGCTCAACTACCTGCTCTACGGGGCTAGGGTCCCGCGAGCCGCCATCCTGCCACTCATCCTCCTCTGCATCGGCGTAGGAATGGTCTCCTACTACGACAGCCTCCCCACGACGGAAGGCAAAGTCACCACCTCGCTCTCGGGCATCCTGTTCGCATTCTCCGGGGTGGGCGCCAGCGCAATCTACACGGTGTGGATCGGCCACTACCACAAGAAATTCGAGATGAGCAGCATGCAGCTACTGCTCAACCAAGCCCCCGTCAGCGCGGGCTTGCTCCTCTGCACCATCCCCTGGATCGAGACGCCGCCAACAGTCTCGTCCGTGCCGGGATCTACCTGGATTCTTATCTTGATGGTGGGCATCCCTCCCTAACTCCAAACCCCATCTCGGTACTCGTCTGCTAACATGACCAGAGCGGCATCTTCGCCTGTCTGGTCAATCTCTCCGGGTTCTACATCATCGATGCCGCAGGGCCAGTCAGCAGCACTGTCATCGGACAATTGAAGACCTGCATTATTGTGGGGCTGGGCTGGGCAGCCAGCCGCCATGTCATCATGCGACAGAGTATTTTGGGGGTCTTTATGGCGTTGGTGGGCATGAGCATGTGAGTTTCTGTCTTGTCTTCTTTCGTGATCGGGGCTAATTGGGGTTGGAACAGGTATATGAATATTGTTCTCCGGAATCAGAGCAAGGCTTGATTTGCGGGTAGATATATGGTGTTTGGCTTGGTCAGGTGGTAGTTACATGATGTATGTGGGCTCTTGGGTTAGGGCTTGTGATAATAGGACTGTGGACATGGCATTCTGCATGTTGAAACTGGGATTCTGGACTAAATTGCATTGTTCATATTATTTCTTCTTAATTTACACAATTCTGTATGCACAAGTCACCGAATAGCACTGGGTATAACCCCTCGCACTTGTAGACATACTAGTAGTACAGGTCTGCTAGATCCATTCTGATCCCGCATACTACAGGAAAGTAGCTCATAAACCACAATATCGCACTGCAGCAAAATCAGCACTAGCCAGAGAACAAAATCCCCGATTGGGAATTGGAGCTGTCGTGCTGACTTCAGGAATTAGGGGTCATTGGGGGCTATTCGGGTTGTCCAGGATCTCGGGCTCACCCGAGGCCCACTATGGTGGAGACTCGACTATGGGCGATGTCACCTTGATATTGACCATGTTGGAACTCGGAGGGTATTTCATTTTCGCGTAGGACCGCTAAATGCTGACCTCTGGTCTGTGTTGCTCAGAATGGAATGGCAAGTCTGACTCGTGAGATTTTAGTCTGGTACGATGCAAGGTGGATGGTGCTATTGCTAAATCTGCAAGGGACGGGGGCCATTTTTCCTGCCACTGGTTAAGTAGACAGGCTGCAGAGATGAGAGCAGAGGCCGGTCAGCACTACAATCCTGACCTAAAACCCCTGCAGCATGACTCGGCAGTAGTGGTAACTAGGGATGTTGGTGAGGAATCATTGCTTATTTCCGGCCTCTACTGTGAGTGAGGTTGGATTTCGGATTACTCCGAGGGTCAATTCCCCTGGATGATGATCATCATACTGCTCATAGATATAAGTATATAGTTGGAGAGTGAAGCAAATATCCTCATCCAGACATCAAGATACCCAGTCTACAGGACGTCCGTTCATTATCTACACGATACCCCTTTTTACAAAATGTTGGCGTTGCTATTTCTTCTTCTAGGGGTGATCTGCCCTACCCTTGCCCATCCGGTGCCGAGAGCTACTCTGAATAGCCTGTATCGCAGAGGTAATGACCACTCCTGTCTTTCTGAGGCTCGGTTGAAATGCTAATGAGTCAACTATAGATATCTCTCCGTCTCTTCTGGCGGATTTCAACCGCTTCTCGCAGTTCTCGGCTGCGGCCAATTGCCAAGCGAACCATAATGCCTCCTCGATTGGGTCGGCTGTCTATTGCGATTCGGGGTTTTGCGACACCATCCGCGAATCAAGTACCCAGATCATTGAGGGATTTGAGGAGTAAGTTCCGGCATTCCCTTTTTCATAACAAGGAGGAAGGTCATCTAACGTACGGGATGCGATAGGATCAAGCCAGGTGGTACCACCGGATACCTCGCTCTGGACAACACGAACAAATGCATCGTCTTGAGCTTCCGTGGGACGGTCTCCCAGGCAAACAGCAATGCTGACTTGGACTTCCTCCAAACGGACGCATCGACCGCCTGCACGGGATGCAAAGCACACCATGGCTTCTGGACAGCAGCACAGAGCGCTATGGACATTCTCCTGCCGAGGGTGGAGGAGGCATTGCAAGACAACCCGGACTATCGGATCGTCCTGACGGGACACAGTCTCGGTGGCGCCCTTGCTACCCTGGGAGCTGTGACCTTGCGGAATGCCGGACATACGGTTGACTTGGTAAGTCCTCCCGTCCGTAGAAAAGAAAAAGGACGACCGCTAACAAGGATTAGTATTCCTTCGGCGCCCCATCCGTCGGTAATAAGGCGTTCGCCGAGTACATCACCAAGTCCACTGCCGGCAAGAACTATCGTATCACCCACACCAGCGACGAAGTACCCAAGGCCCTCTTCCGTTTGTCCCGGCACAAGCCACTGAAGCTTGTGGTCCCCGAGTATAGTCAGTCTTCGCCGGAATACTGGATCACGTCACCCAATGGCGTGTCGGTGACGAAGTCCGATATTCAGGTAATTGAGGGAATCAATAATGAAGCCGGTAACTTGGGTACCAAGGAAGTCACCATGGAGCCTCATGGATGGTACATGGGCAGTACGAGCGTGTGTGCCCAGATCTAAACATGCTTATATATCGCACCAACGGGGACTTTATCAAGTTGGAGTTGGGTATAGCCATTACGGCGCAATAGGGACGGACATCTTTTTTTCCTTCTTTCGCTCGTTTTCTTCCTCTTCTTATCACTCCTTTTCTTCTTTTGTGGAATGCTATCTGTTGTATATCCTGTGACGGGACGCATAATCAACATCAACATAGAGACATGAAATCAGAATGCATACAAACCCTGGAAGTTGCAGATGAAATCGGCGAAATGAACGGCGACTGCAGCGCCCAATCGGAGACGTACCAGGCGTGAGGGGAAGCTGCCCGACCGTAGCCGATCGACCCTTTATAAAGCGTCATCGTCGCCTCTCATCTTCCCCACTTCTCATGGGTGTTCCCCTTGGTGAAATTCAAGATGCCGTGAGATCTCGCAGTTTGTGGTGTTGAAAGCCGTGTCTGACATGAGTGTAGGGAATCCACAGCGTACTATAACCTCGGGTCGCATCGGCGTTCCGTGACCACATCCTCCCCAGAAGCTCAGCTCTGGTTTAACCGCGGATTTCTCTGGGCCTATTCGTTCAACCATGATGAGGCGCTGCGCTGCTTCGAACGGGCCACCGAACACGACCCCAAATGCGCCATGGCATTCTGGGGCATCGCCTATGCGGCCGGTCCGAACTACAACAAGGCGTGGCACTTCTTCGACATGGCAGACCGTCGGCACACAATGAAAAAGGCCAACGATGCGTTGGCACGGGCCACTGAGCTGGCGAGCGATGCCACCCCCGTGGAAAGAGAGTTAATCAAAGCGCTCACAGCCCGATTCTCACCCTCAGACAAGATCCCGTCCGACATGGGGCCGCTGGACCGTGCGTATGCGGCAGCGATGCGACCTGTGTATCAAGCCTACAGCAGCGACCTGGATGTGTCCGCGTTATTCGGCGAAGCTCTCATGTGCATCAGCCCCCGAGGACTCTGGGATTTAGACACCGGCGAGCCCAGCGGCGACCACACAGTGGAGGCGCAGAAGGTGATCGAGTCAGCAATGGCGCAGAGCATCGAAGGTCGCGATCATCCGGCCCATTGCCATCTCTACATTCATCTGATGGAAATGTCGCCAATCTCAGAGCGAGCATTACCCGCCGCCGACCGGCTACGTCGCCTGGTGCCTGATGCTGCCCACATGTTGCACATGCCCACGCATATCGATATGGCGGTTGGGGACTATCGCCGTGCGGTCGACTCCAACGAGGAAGCCATCATCGCCGACGACAAGTATTTCAACCGCGAGCGCGGATCAGCTCTGTACGTAGCGTATCGGGTGCACAACATATGTGCCAAACTGTATGCGGCGTTCATCTCGGGCCGATATCAAGAATCGCTATCGGCTGCGAAAAAGCTCGAACAGATTATCGATATCAATGTGTTAACAAGCACTAGTCCTCCGATGGCGGACTGGACCGAGAGCTTTCTCGGGAACTTAGCCCATGTGTATGTACGCTTTGGTCGCTGGGAGGATATCTTAAGCCTGGAGCTTCCCGCGGACCCCGCCGTGTACTGCGCAACAACGGCCAACATACTATACGCGCGCGGTGTCGCCTTCAGCGCCCTCGGTCGCGTCGCAGAAGCAGAGGCTACCCAGAAACAGTTTGAGGCGGCGCGTGCGAAGGTCCCGCCTTCCCGACTGAACAGCATTCCCTGTAAAGAGGTCGACGTTCTCAAGGTCGGTTCGGAGATGCTCAGCGGCGAGCTGGAATATCGTAAGGGCAACTACGAGGTCTCGTTCGCCCACCTTCGGAAAGCGATTGAGCTGGAAGACGCGCTCCCCTATTCGGACCCGCCGCCATGGATGCAGCCCGTGCGTCATGCCTTGGGTGGGCTGCTACTAGAGCAAAACCGTATCGAAGAGGCAGAGCAGGTATTCCGAGAGGACCTGGGGCTCGCGAAAGATTTCCCTCGTCGCAAGGCCCGACTGAATAATGTCTGGGGCTTACACGGGCTGCACGAGTGCCTGGTGCGCTTGGGCAAGTTCGACGAAGCTCTGAGCATTCAGGTCCAGCGCGATATTGCCGTCGGTTCCGCTGACGTTCCTATTACCACCTCCTGCTACTGTCGCTTGTCTGCGGTTGGGAAAGCGGAGACATGCTGTTCTTCTCATATTTGAGCGTGTTTTGACATTCCGAAGTTCGTTCGCCACAGGCTGTTCGCAATGTGGATCATAGCTCAGCACATTCATTCTGACAGTGGCTCGTTTGCAGCGCTATACCTCGATTCTATAATTTCACGTTTTTATGATCAAACGCGCTATAGTTACGACCCACTTCGCATCTCATGTACCGGAGCGGTTCTAGGAATAATCCCAGATCTATCCATAGTCACTCAGCTAGCTCCCAAAGCTAACTACACTTTACACAGCAGCGTAATCAAAGCTTGCACAGCTAACTCTGTCTCTCAAATAATTACGGGTAAAGAATGTTATAGTCGCTGTATTCATTATGCAGAACCCATTTCATACGTAGCCAAAGGCCATATCTGATCTGACCCCTGCGATTCCAATAGACTCGTTGCAGGTCTACTGATTTTGAGCTCGCCCCAATCACCACCAGTCGAAGTAAACACAGCAAGGTCACATCATCTAGATCCTACTACTGTCATGTAGAACTTACCTGCCGAGCAATCAGAGCTGTTACGGTGACCGTAACCAAGGATCTTCCAATAGCTCTCTAGACGACAGTCTATCTTCAGCCTTCCACTTGAGCATCTTGCGCGGAAATTGGAAGAAAAGCAGCCGCGGCTCACCCTCCAGATTTCCTTCAAGCGTCTCCAACGACATAAGAGGGATTTCAATGGCTCCCTTCCAACTCCCTAATTCCGTATCAGCAAAACACTCTTCGAAGATCCTGATTCATATCTACCTTCGTCATCCAAGAACTCGGTCGCATAGACACTATTCGGTATCATTTCCTTCGGCGGTGGCCCCATAACAGCAATCATTTCAGCGATACGATGGCCATCAGACCTTTTCTTATCCGAATCACGTCCAGATGTCCTTGTTGGAAGAGATCTCATGTCTATGCAAGTTTTAGCAAAGTTATATATCCACCATTCACTATTCACTATAAGACATACCAATAATCCGACATTCCAGATATCAACCTTCTCATTCCAAGGCTTGCGCAATAACACCTCAGGAGCCCGGTAAATATACGGCTGGATATCCCCGTAGTAAGTACTTGTCCCACGGTGAGCCTGCCCAAAATCACACAGCGTAGGACGTCCATGTTGCTTAGTTTTCCTGAGCTTTCGAGAAGTGTAGATGACTCGATCGCCGACTCTTTTCCGCGGGCTGGGACGAGATTTCTCTTCCTCTTCGAAATCGGCTAAGATGGATGTATCTTCAATAGCCATCATGATGTTCTTTTCTTGAATATCTGAGACAACTCGGTTAGAAGGTTTTTTGAGAGACGGATAGTGAGGAATGCATACCCGTATGGACGATTCCAGCCTCGGTGTGAAGGTAATCCAGAGCAAGAAGGAGATGCATCAGGGTCAACTTGACTATTTTTTTCGGGAAGGACCTTGTCTCTGAGCTGGAGTGCGGAAGTCATAGAGACTCATTCCTAAGGTTGGGATGGACAAGACATCTGAATTTGCCTTCTTGAGAGGTAATGTGGAAGTTGTCCAACGCTGTGCGGATAAGCTTGGCTCCGGTATGATCTACTTTGTCGAGGGAATTCAGGTGGCGATAGGTCTCTGTCTCTCTTTGGCCTTCTGTCGAGTTGCGCTCGAACACCTTTAGTGTGACATATTCATGCTGTCTAGAATAAAGTGAGTTTCTTTTCGCATAGGTACTTGATTGGGAGGTAAGCTGACTGTAGGTCCCTGCATAGCCAAACGGTGGAATATCCACCGTATCCTAATTTACCAATCACTTGATACCTCGATTGAAAATATTTCGCCGATTATCACCGAATAGAAGTTGTTGGGAGAATACCATGGCAGTGTTTCTTCCTCGAGCTTCTCGGTTGGATCGAGGAGAGGATAGCTTAACTGAGAGAACTCGCGTACTGGTGATGCAGAGCGTTGAAATACGGGACGCCGAGGAAAACACTTCCTAGACAGTCAGGATGGCAGGCGAAATATCGAGGCCATGGTGAGAGAAGTGTGGTGAGGAAGATTACGAGCGACCAGGGGGAACGCCTCGGAGGTTCGGCGGTGGTTGGTCCTTATCGGGTACGGAGATCTAGGGATGGTTCCAACACTGCAAAATTACATGGATTTGGCGTTTTGATAGACGGAAATGAAATTTTCAGTCGGCCCCGTAGGGAGTTTTATACTAATAGATTAGGGCGGCTTAACTCTGATCTATAGACGTACTCTTAAGAAATGGAAAGATAGATAAAGATGTTAGAAATTAATGATATTTCAGATTAGAATGGTACGGGTTCCCCGCTGATTTGCGGATCCGATATAGAAGACAGAATGTGGCCTGAATCGATGAACCGGTCAAGTCAAGTCAAGTCAAGTCAAAAAAAAAAAAAATAACAATATATGGTACGCAAATAGAATATCATTCTTGTGTTTGGGTATCGTGTTTGTGTTTCAGAGCAAGAACGTTATCAAGCTCTTGTGAGAAAGCCATGGAATTGAGGTCGTCGCCAGGCCACCTCTTTTGAGTCCACTTAAGTGCTTGCCGCCAATAGTATTCACATAGACTATACTGGGCCTTTGCAAGGTAAACAAATGCCAGACGGTCGCTTGCGTATATGTCGCAGATATCGGGCTGCTCCGGTCCGTGTTCAGAGATGCCGAATGAGAGGGCGTTCAACAGGGCATTTTCCGCCTCGTCGTAACGGCCCTGCTCAAAATAGATGTGTCCGAGTCTACGCATGCTGATGCGGGTAGTTTTATGATTATACCCGTTCGTCTTGCTGCTTTCCCTTATCATGTTCTGGCATATATCAGCAGCAGCAGAAAACTTTTGCTGTGTTCTGAGAAGATCGCTCAAAGCCCACTGATACCGGCAAATATCGCTAGGCGTACTGTCGGGACACTCAATAACCATGCCGAGCATGAGCTCCAGGGCCGGTTCGGTAGAATTGATAAGTGTATTGCAAGTGGGAAGCAATCGTAAGATCACAGTTAAGGGGTGGGAAATCCCTAAAACCTGATCGGCTACTGATGCAAGATATTCAAGTAGGTGACGCCACAAAATAGAAAAGTCGCGCCACCGCTGGTCTGCGAAGAGCAAAAGAAGGACTCGGATGAGATCCTGCTCCTGTTGACGAAAAACAGCTCTGGCCATTTCGCAGGCCTTCTCTAACAACCCCCACGGTTGCTGCGGGACCTTTTTAACCAGTTGATCAACAGCGTGCGTTAAAGTCCCGGTCAGGTCGTACGCATTCTTTTCCACGTGCGAATCTATATGGCGTGAAGGTACATTGACTGAAGGCGAGTTTCGAGAATCCGAAGAGTCCTTCTGTTGAAAATGCCATTGGAAATAGTCTCGGATATGGAATAAGATGACCTCTGTATTGTGCACGGATTCTGAGTGATTTAGGATGAGCTTTGTAAAACTAGGAACGCGATTTACGTAGAGTTGATCCCAGTAAGCAGATGAAAGATTTTTCGCGAGTACAACTTCTGCCACTGAAGGCGCCATAGGGCTCGTGCCGACTGGTAGGAATTCTTGAGAGGGCTCAGCCATGTAGGAGGGTTCCGTAATGGTTGGATCTAAGTTACTTAATAGACGTGGCCTGCATTCGTTTCCACCACTGCTACGTAAATGGCGGCATAGTGATCTATTGGACGAAAAGGTCTTTACGCAGCCCCAGACCTCTCCGCTTTCTAGGGTTATTCGACAAGGATAGCTGGCAGGGCATGGAGAATGAATTTCCTTTTCGTGGACCCTTCGATCATGGTTCCTTGTGAAAGTCTTGAGACAACACGTGCAGGAGTACGGTCTTTTGTTGTTATGGCTATTAAGATGATTCTGGAGCGTGAAAGCGCGAGTGAACTTCTTCAAACAAACAGGACACGGATATTTGTACTTGTCTTCGGTAGCCATTAGAGAAATACTTTGTGAGGTTGAGGTTGAGGTTGACTTTGATGGAGGTGGAAGTCTTATAGGCCTACGGTGGACGAAGTCGAGGTTGCGGACCAGGTAAAATATGACCACCTTTTACCAACACCAACGCAGTATTATACTAGCCAATTATAATAAGTTCGATTTAATGTTCTAGAACACTGCCTGTACACGGTGTGATCGGTCTACGGTCCTGAGTCATGTGCCGCTCGATCCATGGGTCAGAGGACAGCACTGGCACTTGCGACAAGAGCGCGTACAGCAAGACCGAGCCAATTACTTCCATCAATTCATTGTGGCTGTGTTGACTCATTTACAAATGAAGTTACACTCTCAAAGGCGGTTATCATTTCTCGAGACACCACAACAATGACGCTCGCCAGAGGAATAGCTCAAAGCACTGGCACCGGCAAGCAAAGCTTAGTATCGTACCTAGCACAGTTCAACAGATTGTACTGGCACAACATGGTAAGCTATATAATTCCTATTGACTACCCTCGGAGTTGTTCTCCGTAAAAACATAGTTATCAAAGAGAGAACTCTGGGTATCATCTACAAAGATCTATTTGAGTTTAGTAAGTACAACTTACTTAAGTAGCAACAACTGTACATCTGTTAACAGGACGATGCAGCCAAACGGTAAAGAAGTACTCTCTCGCTGAGAACATGTCTTTGGAACTCGCTTTGACAATTGCGTTCTCCCTGATTGCGATCGCCCTGGGGGTGGTCTCTATCTTTCAGAATTGGCGCCTTGAAAGTATTATCAGTATGTCAAACCCACATCCGATATATGTACATCTGAACTACTCTAACTTTCTTGAATAGGAACAATCATGAATCATTGACCTCACTAGACTGAATACCTCAGGAAGCTTCATCGGAAACAGAGAGAGCAAAAAAGAAAAGGAAAAAAAAAAAAAAAAAAAAAAAAAAAAAAAAAAA